ACCCAGTGAGGATCGAACTCACTACTCAGTCGTAATTGATCGAGACGAGACAACCGCCTTGGTTAACCTTAGATGTACACCGCCTCGTGGTGGCAGTCAAAGCTGACAATTTTCCATACACCGCCTCGGGGTGCCCAAAGGTGATTTTAGCTTAGATGTGACACAAGGCCGAAAGTAAGGGGCACCCAGTCAGGATCGAACTCACTACTCAGTCGTAATTTGTTCTAGCTTAGATGTGACACAATGCTTGTTAGGGGCACACCATTACACCACCTCGACAGTTAACCATTGCCCGAAAGGTGATTTTTTCAAGCGTAGCTTAGATGTGACACAAGGCCGAAAGTAAGGGGCACCGAGTGAGGATCGAACTCACTACTCAGTCGTAATTGATCTAGCGAGACAAGCTTGTTAACCATTACACCGCCTCGAGGTGCCCAAAGGTGATTTTCCATGCGTATCTTAGATGTGACACAAGGCCGAAAGTAAGGGGCATCCAGTGAGGATCGAACTCACTACTCAGTCGTAATTGTTCAAGCTTGTTAACCATTTCACCAAGCCGGGGTGCCCTGATTAGCTAGGTATAAAATAGTGTCGACCAGCCTCAACCCATTCCAACTTTTAGGCCTTGTGTCAGTTGGTGTATTTTTATAGTCGATAAATCTTGAACATTACCCTCAATACCTAATATCTCCGATGTTCGGTTTACAAGAGTTGTATTCCGTATCCTTATTTTTGACTTCCTTCACAGATTTTAATTGGTTTTGGATAAGATATTTCATAAATTTTTAAACATTTCCTATAGTGTGTTTGTTTTTTCACAAATTACAATATTTCTTTAGCACAATTTTTTTCATTATTATTGCTTGACAATTATTCTTTGTACATTTACGTATTCAGTCTAGACTTTAAATAAAAACGCGTCAACATTACAGGCTATCCTTTGTATCCTAAACTCTAAAACTTTATAAAAATTTTAAGTTTGCTACAGCAAAATTTACTTCCACAAATTCAAACAGTATCCTCAATACTGAACATGTCGAAATAATGTTCGGTTTAGTGGCGTTGTACTGTATATATATATATATATATATATATATATATATATATATATATATATATATATATATATATATATATATATATATTATATACATATATATATATATATATATATATATATATATATATATATATATATATATATATATATATATATATATATATATATATATATATATGTATGTATATATAAATAAATTCCCAAGAGGATAGAATCCAGATAGATCTCAATATACAGGACAGAGTAAGAATATAATAAAAAAAATCATCATTCCTACAAATTCAAAAATTTTGAATTTGTAGGTCTGATGAATTGGATCGTGATTACTGTTGTGGATTCCGGGATGAAATCTGGTCTCAAATGAATGACAAACGCAGGAATGAAATATAGCAAATAAATGTATTGACGTAATAATACAATTGGTAATACGGTTAGTAGATCCAAAAATGCGGTTAGTAGCAATAATAAATATATATATAGTCTGGGAAATTCAGTATAGAAGTATGACTTCCTTCTGAGTCTACGTGCTCGCAACTGTGACTCCTACAAAGCGGTTACCTCACACTATTAGTCTCTCACTGTCACTGTCCTCCGTGTATTCACCGGCAGCAGTACAAGTACACACTAGGCGAGACACTTGTATGAAAAGGGGGTGGCCCCTTTAACAATTACAAATCAAATGTAATAAATTATACCCATGAAATATTAGTGTTTGAGCCTTTTTTATTATATTTTGGCATATATATATATATATATATATATATAGAGAGAGAGAGAGAGAGAGAGTGAGAGTGAGAGAGAGAGAGAGAGAGAGAGAGTTAACCTTATCCTTAAAACTAACAACACACCAGCGAAGTCAAAATTACAACGAAAGAACATTAAGTTTCAAATGCTCCTTAAATAATTACTTCGGTCACACAACTACATGCCTATCCAGACGCCTTACCTTACACCTATCTGACCACAGCTCCATTAGAACCCATTTAAACACACACAAAAACTTACCAGATTCCATTCGAAAACAGAGACATAATAATCTCACCAACACGTAAAAAATAGATTTACAATAATGGAAGCCCTAAAAATAAAAAACATAAAAAAAATAACACTTAGCAATATTAACTACGAACAAGGCCACAATGTGGTGACCGTGTTCGGAAAATAAAACATCTCTTTAACACTATAAGCATTCACATAACGCATGCACTCAAACTGAAAAAATAAAATCATACATGATAACGGCTACTAAGTATAGACAAAAACGCTCGGAACTATAGAACATTTGGCCAGTTTCTACACACATTCTGTGTGTCCCCCCCCCAAAAAAAAAACTTGTGTGAACAAAAAAATTAAATAAAAAGCTTAATCGTAGTAAGTTGTCTGTCGTTTTTCATAAAAAATATATATATATATATATATATATATATATATATATATATA